GGGTCAAGCGTCAAGAGGGTCAAGCGTCAAGAGGGTCAAGCTTCAAGTGGGTCAAGAGTCCAATGGATTTTCGGGGTCTGAGGCTCTTCGTCTCGAATTTTTTCACAGTTCTAAAAATTAGTAAATATTTCAAAATTTAATTACATATAGTGAATTACTTTAAAGGTGAATGTTCTCCTCTACGGTGAATAAATTTTATTGTGAATATGTCTGAAATTTTAAATATGTGATATTGTAATGATTTTTTCACGAGTAACAAATGAATTTCAAGAAAAATTTCAGATAGTAATTTCACACACAGCATCGATTATAATTGTAAAAATGAAAATTTATTACCCGAATTTAATACATTCACAATTTCAATATCTTTTAAACAGCCGAGGTAATTTTCGCGGGTGAACTTCATGGCCGGTTTCCATTGATTCACCTGTTAAAAAAACATTATCACCTAGATATTTGATGGAATGATCCGAAAATTAATGTTTTTGTACCGATAATTTTAATTAACATTAGCTAACCTTTAATCCATGCACATGCTTACATATGAATATTCTATACGTGTGATTCTAAAATGAGTTACTAATTTCCGAAATGTCTATTTTAGTGTAAGGATCCCGCGGAAGAGGATTAATTGTGCGATCAAAGAAAAATAGTCTTGAACGAATAATAATCATGTAATAATAATCTTAATTTCTTAAATTACAACTGCAAGGATTATCGAAATTGAATACCTAAATTTGTATACATGAGTTCTCATATTAAATAATTATTATAAAAACCTGAATTATCGGAAGGTCTTTCACCATCCGTTTAATGTTGATATTATTTCGTACCGAAGTTGCCGAGTAAGACTTAACGTTTTGAGGTTATATCATTCGTCGGTGAATTATTTGAAAACGATATCCTTCGTTCATCCTTCATCCATCCGACAGTTTAACTGAGGAACTCAGTTTTATTCATTAAAAAAATAGATTTTTTTCCTTTGAATGTTCATCGCTCAGAGCCAAAGTTTCACTGAACTCCTCCCAAGCTCATACCAGCACGTAGGTACGGTTTTTTTATCCATATCTAGACTTTTTTCAGCCTCTAAAGAAAAAGTGGCAAAGAGAATTTTATTTATACCGCGCAATCTTTGGACTCACGAACTTCATTCACCTAGAGGCTCTTATCCCTTTGACGACTGACGGTACCTCCAATTACCACGCTTATTTTTCCCTCATTACGAGCAAACTGTCTTGCTGAAGCGTGTTAGCGACTGACGGTAGTCTCAGTTACCACTCCGCTATCAATTAAATTGCGGCATTTGGCAACTCATCGCTGTCACGTGTGTAAACAACGAGATCAAAGGAAGAGGGCTGAAGGAAAGGATGCACCTGTAATTGCTCACCACATAAACGCCTGTAGATGCCATAATCCGGTAAGTTTTACTATATTCACGAGCAGTTATTGTCCGTTATAGGTCTAAAAAGATATTTATTCCTAAATCATGCTGAAAATTCGTGTATTATATGTAAGTAAGCAGGTTTCATTGAAGACCAGAGAATTTGTTTTATTCGCAATTTTCTTATTAGTTTTTTCAATATATCGAACAATATTTTTAGTTTGAACTGGCAAATCGAAAATCAGGTTACCGATGGACATTTTTATTTCGTTAACGACGTTTCGAATGTTTCTATCATTCATTATCAAGTTAAAAGGCGCATAGAGTGATGAAATTAGCGTCGACATAAGTACAAAATCAAGTAAATAGGATACTACTCAAAAATCAAAATTGTTAGGAATAATTACAAAATCACAAAATAANTCTAGATGTGTATAAGAGACAGGTGAGGGTGTGTGAGGGTGAGTGGGGGTGAGTGAGGGTGAGTGAGGGTGAGTGAGGGTGAGTGAGGGTGAGTGAGGGTGAGTGAGGGTGAGTGAGGGCGAGTTAGGGTGAGTGAGGGCGAGTGAGGGTGAGTGAGGGTGTGTGAGGGTGAGTGAGGGCGAGTGAGGGTGAGTGAGGGTGAGTGAGGGTGAGTGAGGGAGAGTGGGGGTGAGTGAGAGTGAGTGGGGGTGAGTGAGAGCGAGTGAGGGTGAGTGAGGGTGAGTGAGGGCGAGTGAGAGCGAGTGAGGGTGAGTGAGGGTGAGTGAGGGCGAGTGAGGGTGAGTGAGAGCGAGTGAGGGCGAGTGAGGGTGAGTGAGGGCGAGTGAGAGCGAGTGAGGGTGAGTGAGGGTGATCAATCAATCATTCTCTGCTGCAATAAGTCCAAAAATTGTTTTATGCGTTATCATCAATAATGGCGAAATCTCTGCGCAAATTACATATAACAAATAACCTACTAGTTTTATCTCATTTATTAGTCTTTTATTGATAAAATTCAAGCTTGCTATACAAATATGTATAAAGAAACTCAGACGTTAAGGAAATGTTTTTTACAATAAATGAATTCAGCTATTTTGAAAATATTTTTATGCAGTACAATATTTTTGTTTCAATTTTCAATTGGGAATTGGTAATAACATTATTTTTTTCATTTCTATAGATCAGAAAGGGTGCATATCAAAAGATATCAGTAAATGTATGAAATATATGCATAGGATGGACAAGACTATTTTTACCCATTCTGATTACAGTGATCATAAGTAGGTGTCATAGACGTCTGTTGGTAACTCCAGTTACCGGCCCCCATTGGGGGGCCCCCTTGAAGCATTGAGTATATTTCAAAGTTTAGAGGATCAGCACTACACCTTACAAGTAATACCACAAAACATAACGAAAAAATTACTATTATAAATGTATCTCGGCGTCAAAGGGTTATAAGAGAGATTAAATTCTTCACGACCGCAGTTTTTGATTGATCTTACTGGCAACAATTATATACCACGCCATATAGCGCACTATATGTAATTATATACCACGCTATATAGCGCACTATATGTAATTATATACCACCCTATATAGCGCACTATATGTAATTACATACCTCGGTATATAGCGCACTATATGTAATTATACACCATATACCTCGCAGTATATATAATTATATACCACGCTATATTGAGCAGTATAAGGTACTTAACTAGAATATAACGGCACTCGTTCAGCAGAACTCGACTATTTGCGCCTATTTAACTATTCGCGCCTATTTAACTATTCGCGCCTATTTAACTATTCGCGCCTATTCAACTTTTCGCGCATTTAATTATTTGCGCCTATTTAACTATTTGCGCCTATTTAACTATTCGCGCCTATTTGACTATTCGCCTATTCAGAAGAGATTAACTGGTGGGAGAGGATTAAGGTTCTGATATTACTCTTCGATGCACTCAGACACATTAAATGAACTAAAAATAAACTAAAATTAAAAACTAATAGTAAAGTTAAAGTAAATGACCAGAAATTAAACCACAACAAGTTTATTAGAATTTCTCTAAACTTGAATTGAGATATTTTGTTCCATTCTTGCGTTATAACGAGGAGCGGCAATATTATGCAATTTAATTAAATCGCCTTAAATTTAATTAATTTAGATAAATTTACTCATTTTAATTATACATATATATTTTTTTAATTTATATTTTAATATTAGAGGAGCAACGCAATTCGCCCGAAGAAAATCACCTTACATTTGATAAATTTAGATAAATTTACTCATTTTAATTATATATATATTTTTATTTATATTTTAATATTAGGGGACCAACGAAATTCACCAGAAGAAAATTATCGATCTTATACAGAGAAACATGCATGGGTCAGATTTTTCAAACAGTGAGGTAACGTTTGCACAAAGCACTGACACGCCCTTTCTACAGGGCCAAACTAGGTCAGGATGTATCCCACAAGGGCAAAAAGAGAATCGCTATTTGGATAAAGCCTCGCATATTTCTCTGAGTATTGAGACAACCACCCTTATATATATCACCCCGGCCTTAGATTGACGGCCTTGATTGACCACTCGTAAGGTTTTACTTGCATGCGAAAGAAATAGGGATTGTGTTCCAATTCCCTATTAAGTGAATGCCAGAGGAATTTTATTCGTGTTATGTCATTATTATACAGATCTTTATGAGCCAGTTCGACACGCTTATTTAAAAAAACGTTATTCGACTGTACGATTTCTATGTAAATAAGTCAATGACAGCCATACTTTGTCGAGCCGCTTGTCTCGCCAGCCAAAGACAGCTATGTCTTCGTCGACATGTCGCTTGTCTCGCCAGTCAAAGACAGCTATGTCTTCTTCGGCATGTCGCTTGTCTCGCCAGTCAAAGACAGCTATGTCTTCGTCGACATGTCGCTTGTCTCGCCAGTCAAAGACAGCTATGTCTTCGTCGACATGTCGCTTGTCTCNCACTTGTGTCCCTACAGTTCTGCTCATCCACTTGTGTCCCTACAGTTCTACTCATCCACTTGTGTCCCTACAGTTCTGCTCATCCACTTGTGTCCCTACAGTTCTACTCATCCACTTGTGTCCCTACAGTTCTGCTCATCCACTTGTGTCCCTACAGTTCTACTCATCCACTTGTGTCCCTACAGTTCTGCTCATCCACTTGTGTCCCTACAGTTCTACTCATCCACTTGTGTCCCTACAGTTCTGCTCATCCACTTGTGTCCCTACAGTTCTACTCATCCACTTGTGTCCCTACAGTTCTGCTCATCCACTTGTGTCCCTACAGTTCTACTCATCCACTTGTGTCCCTACAGTTCTGCTCATCCACTTGTGTCCCTACAGTTCTACTCATCCACTTGTGTCCCTACAGTTCTGCTCATCCACTTGTGTCCCTACAGTTCTACTCATCCACTTGTGTCCCTACAGTTCTGCTCATCCACTTGTGTCCCTACAGTTCTACTCATCCACTTGTGTCCCTACAGTTCTGCTCATCCACTTGTGTCCCTACAGTTCTACTCATCCACTTGTGTCCCTACAGTTCTGCTCATCCACTTGTGTCCCTACAGTTCTACTCATCCACTTGTGTCCCTACAGTTCTGCTCATCCACTTGTGTCCCTACAGTTCTACTCATCCACTTGTGTCCCTACAGTTCTGCTCATCCACTTGTGTCCCTACAGTTCTACTCATCCACTTGTGTCCCTACAGTTCTACTCATCCACTTGTGTCCCTACAGTTCTACTCATCCACTTGTGTCCCTACAGTTCTGCTCATCCACTTGTGTCCCTACAGTTCTGCTCATCCACTTGTGTTCCTACAGTTCTGCTCAGCCAGTTCTGGCTTTGTAGTTCTGCTCATCCACTTGTGTCCCTACAGTTCTGCTCATCCACTTGTGTCCCTACAGTTCTGCTCATCCACTTGTGTCCCTACAGTTCTGCTCAGACTCATTTTGTTCATGCGTGACACATTATAATCTTACTCATGTTTGATACAGCATCATTTTACTAATATATGTCAGGTCCTGAGCTGTTAATCGAAAGCTTTGAACTCATATACAAACGACGGATTCATTAAATAATATTGTAAGCGATATTTCGGTGACGAATTTAACGCAACATATATTTTTTGTACAATATCTGCAATATTGATATATTGATTTGAAGCGCTGCCTCACCTGACACTTGCACCACTCATAAAAATACTCGGATAAAAGCTTAAATTACTTCACGGGAACTCAAGACGTACGCGCTAAACTTGAACGCTCGTTAGTGCTGCAGGACAAAACTTAGACAACTGCTGCCCGAAGATACCGCAAGTTTGATTGCAGGAACATACAGGGGCGTGAGGCGAGGCTGGTAACCGCTTTCTGCTCCTGCCTTGGCAACAAATTGAATAGTTTTCAATGTGTGAACACATAATGATTTATGTTAATAAATTTCTTTTGAACAAATATTCATATCTTCATAAATTCATGTTCATGAATTTTTTATGAACACATATTCATTCATATTAATAAATTTCTTTTGAACACATATTCATTTCATCATAAATTCATATTCATGAATTTCTTATGAACACATATTCATTCATAAATAAATTTCTTCTGAATACATATTCATATATGCAAATGCATATTCCTGAATTTATGAATATATGTTCAATCTGATTGTTCAGCGGCTCCTGCATGAGTTAGTGAACACATAAGACTCTCAATTTTATTTGGAGGTTACGGTACGTAATGACGAAAACGAATTTTACTTGAGTCGCCATCCAAAATTATGCATCATTTGTAGCGATCATTATTACAGCATCCGATTACCAGCGAGCTGTAATTCAGCAGAGCATGTAATCGATTCTCTCAATACTTCTTACTATTGCTGGAAATTAGTTTAAATTCAAGGCTATTTCACTTGTTTATTATCAAATGCCATATTAATCAAGCAGAGATGTTTCACAAAAGACAAGCGCTAATTGCATCAAGGTGAATAAAGTTTGAAGTCAAGACAATGAAGTTAGATCTCGGGAGCAAGAATTGTTAGGATGATTCTTTCATGGATCATACCACCAAAAAATACACAAGTTGAAAAGTTCCTACAACGAGAGCTGCAAGTGAATATGTACGATTACGGGGCATGGGTACAAGGCATGTATCTTCATTAAGCTCGTCACAAGCCCCCTGCATCTTCATTACATCATCACGCGTTAGCTCATCCTTGTACCGGACCAAGTTTGCTGGGCTAAGCAGGCAAAACTTTGCCACTAGCGCACGAGATGCCCTACAGGGCCAGTCCGGAATGAGGCCTTAGCGTCCAGGCTATGAGAAGTCACTGCAAATCGCGGTGTTCGGTGCACCTGAACATAACATGCTTAGGACTTTAGATGTTTCTAAGGCCATTGCCACAACTTGGTCTTAGCCTCCTCCCTGCATTTGACAGACATATTCTTCAATAAAACGTGCTTGGGACTTTAAATGTTACTGAGGCCATTGCCACAACTTGGTCTTAGCCTCCTCCCTGCATTTGACAGACATATTCTTCAATAAAACGTGCTTGGGACTTTAAATGTTACTGAGGCCATTGCCACAACTTGGTCTTAGCCTCCTCCCTGCATTTGACAGACATATTCTTCAATAAAACGTGCTTGGGACTTTAAATGTTACTAAGGCCATTGCCCACACTTAGGTCTTAGCCTCCTCCCTGTATTTGACAGACATATTCTTCAATAAAACATGCTTGGGACTGTAAATGTTGCTGAGACCATTGCCCAAACTTAGGCCTAGGCCTCCTAAATGTATTTAAAAGACATAGTCTTCAATAAAACACTCTTAAGATTTTAAATGGTACTGAGGCCATTGCTCAAACTTAGGTCTTGGCCTCCTCCCTGCATTTGACAGACATATTCTTCAATAAAACATGCTTAAGAATTTAAATGTTAACGAGACAATTGCCCAAATTTAGGCCTGGGCCTTCTTCCTGCATTTGTTGGATATATTCTTTCACAAAACATGTTTGAGAATGTAAATTTTATTGAAAGCATTGTAATTGTAATTTCATTGAAAATTATAAAATAATTGAATTTAAAGTTAAATATAGTAAGTATCATAACTAACATTTATTCAACTTGAATATTATACTATGCAATTATTAAAGAACTTATTACGCTAGAAATTTTTTGCATTGCTTCAAGATTAGTCACCTTAATTGGTTTTGAGTATGTAATTTTATATAACATCTATATATCATTTATGAAGTTTTTATGATGCATGAATATTAGCACGCAGGGTCACAATAAAGAGAAGCTTCTTGTAATAGTATGTAAGCATTTTATGTCGCCTTTGAAACTCCTCACGGAACCAACAGTCAAGTGGAGTCAAAAGAATCAATTTTTTGGAGAAAGGCTTTGAAAATATCAAATAATCTATTGCAATACTTTATTGATAATATTTTGCGAATATTTAGCATGCTATATCAATGCTTTACTCTTTAAATGGTTGATAATGAGATCATTTGAACTTGGGTGTCGAAACATATTATATTGCGGAACATTTAGTATATAATCTCTCTTGAACTACACCTATATGCACGTGTATAAGCACAAGTGTATAGGTAGAAATAAGATGAATATGGCACAATCGAATATTTTTTAATTATCAATATAGTAGTTAATTTGGGTATAATAACAAATATTCTGTTGTCTGTATAATATTGTTGGTTTATTTAAAAATTAGTACGTCATTCTAAAGTATCTGCAATTACGTGCGTTGCTTCAGAAGAACGTGACATCGTTCGCTCTTAATGAATTTTCTGTCGTCTGAAGAGTCCTCATTTTTTAAATAGTTTTGTCATAATATAAATTAATAAATACTCCACACTTCAAGAACGCGGCTCCAGAAAATATCCAGCTTAAAATTTAATATGCGCAGGAAAATGAAAATTCCGCACAGAAGCCAATAAATTGTTGAGCATTGTTCAAATATCGAGAATCTGCTCCAACTCTTGATATTTTATAGCAGTTAAATTGACTGGAAACTTAATTGTGGACCTTTGGTATATATGGAACCTCATGAAAAATCTACAATAAAAAACACTAAACAAATCAAAATAAAATATGGACGACATGTTTAGCATGAAAACAATTCTGCAAAAATTACAAAAAAATGATATTTGTTGCTTCCGCACCTGCAGTTCGGAAGCGCTGTGTGGTCATCGAAACCTGAAACGGTCCAAAATTCAGTTCATAAAACTGTGTTTCGCATGCTAGAAAACACCATACAAAAATTGCTGTTGTGATGCGCTGGAGTCCTCTCGTGCGAGGCGTGGTGATGCATAACAATCAGTGTGACCGATATAAAACCTCGGTTGGCTCAACTATGGTCATTGAATGGCCAGCAGTTGGCTATTAAATGGCCAGCAGTTTTGCATTGAAGGTTCGCTTAATATTTCCAAATGGGTAGCTTTTTGAATCGCAGACGACAAGTTGAGCAGCGACAGCAACTGTCAGCTCAATTGGGCCATTTGAGTCGAATAATAAGGTGAAGAAGTAAACGCTGCGAGCATTCTGACCATCGGCGCCTGACTTGGCTGTATCCTGGAGAATAGTGAGGCGAAGTAGTGAATGTTGCCAAAATTCTGAACACAGGCGCCTGACAAGACTGTGTCCTGGAGAAAAGTGAGGCAAAGAGACGAATGTTGCGAGCATTCTGACTATCGGCGCCTGACATGACTGTGTCCTGGAGAATAGTGAGGCGAAAAAATTAATGTTGACAGCATGCTGACCATCGGCGCCTGACATCACTGTGTCCAGGGTAATAGTGAGGCAAAAAAGTGAATGTTGCCAGCATTCTGACCATTGGCACCTGAAATGACTATCCTGGAGAATAGCGAGGCGAAGTAGTGAATGTTGCGAGCATTCTGACCATCGGCTCCTGACTGTCCGAGAGAATAATGCTCATCTTACTCCTAGATAAACGGGCTCCAACTCAAAATTGAGTTACAACTGTTATATGGTTGATATGAGTTCTAACAGATGCATACTGATATGATTTCTAACTGATACATGACTGCTATGAGTTCTAACTGATGAATGACTGATATGAGTTTCAACTGATGCATGGCTGATATGAATTATAACCGAAGTATGACTGTTATGAGTTCTAACTAATATATGACTGCTACGAGTTCTAACTGATATATGACTGCTACAAGTTCTAACTGATATAAGATTTTAAATTCCATAATACGATGCCATCGTATTATGCGCTGTGAGCACCACCGACTCGTGCCAGGCGAGTGCACATCGGACAATAGTGGACGTCAGACGAGGACAGCAACGATTGTTGCAGCATTACGTTCCCTGTGGTTGTTTACATCATGACATAGAATGTCGTAATCATGATTTATTAGGTTCGTTGTAAGCGACGATTGGTGTTTTTCTTCATCTGCACGCAGTGGCGATCCCATTGTGAATGTCAAATCAACACGATATAAAATATATCAACGGTTGGAAACATTATTCATAATAATGGGAAATTTATAGAATTAGACCACTTTTTTTCTATGAAAATATTTGGTCAAAATCCATTGCACGTATACCGTCAGCAATTACATCGGCATAATATAAAAAAATTGTAAGGCGTGTTAATCGTCATTGAACGGACATGCGAGAGTACACATGCAGTTTGCTTTTATTGTTATAGTTGATCGTTAAGGGTTATTTATAGTACCATTGTAACACACGTAGAGAATAGAGATTATATTTTGTTCTTTTTTGATATCTAGCAAATTATTTCTAATATTTTCAAAATTCAATTCGTCTTCTATTCTCCATAACAACCCAGAATCGAATTGGT